CTCTGGAACTATGCAAAAACTAGGAATAGAGTTGTAACACACTGCTACTTAGAGTTACTTTAGTTTCAGCTTTAGACCTGGGCTTTTGCAGCACCGACCTTTGATCCCCCTTCCCCTCCCCCCGTCCGGTTCGGCCTACGATATTTTCGTAAACTAGCACGAGCTTGAAGAACATTAGGAATGCGGTCCTCAAAAAGTATGGCCATGAAAGAAAGATAAGCGAGGAGACACTTTTCAAAAATTTCTGGAACGTTAATCCCTGGGAATGTTCATTCCCGATTCTTATGTCCGATTCCTGTGGAATCCCGACCTTCCCCTTCCCTCCTGTATACCCATCTGTTCCCCGCCAATCCTTCCTCTGGTCTTGTGGAATAGTAATATTTAAAGGAATTTTCCACAACAACACCGTAACTGCCGTGCTGAAGAAGTACAGTTTTGGTGCTAAAAAGGAATGTGTACGAAACTTAATGATACATTTATTTTGTAAATGTTTTTCCTTTATTATCCTGCACTTTAATTAATAACAGAATTTATTCGAAAAAAAATTAAGATTGGGAAAATAGGGAAAGGAAATACTGCAATATAAAAATTAGAAAAGTTTTAGAAACTGGAAAAAAATGTTCCGGTCCATGAAGTTGTACACATTTCTTACTGGAGTCACAACTGGACTTCGTTAGCACAGTGCTGTTGGCATGATCGAATGGGTTTTAAAAGGATAGTTAATATTACAAAATAAATTCTGTGTAATAAAAAGGATTAGGCGGTTAAAGGGGAAGATAAAAGAATTTAGAGGTTTTCGGCATACTGCTTGAGGTATGTTGTGTGAAACTTATTGGTCGGCCACAGTAATTATGTGAATCCATTGTAGGTTCATCACCTACTTCTCCAGCTGTCCCGTGAACAACCTTTCCAATTGCTTTGACCAGTGCTAGGCGGTCAGCCTGCTGTTGAAGATCCTGACGTTCGTTTCTGTCTCCTGAAGAAAGTAGCAGTAAAACGGTTCCCCAGACAGAAGCGTTTAACAAGGATTCAGCTGTTTTGAGGTATTCTTGGAGTGTGTTGAGCGTCACCATCTTGTCCTAAATACTGCCAACCACAGATGTAAGGTACCATAGCGACTTTTCCCCACTCTTCCCCTCCAATCGGATTTATAAAACACAAAAAATAAAATAAATGTTGAGTCATCTTTCGTCAACATTCACCTGAATGTCGAGAAGCGACGTCCCCATCGGAGATCGGATCTCCAACAGGGACCCAATTCTCCGTTCCCAGTCCACTTTCCCCCCTGCTAATTTTCCCATCGTAGATTCAGTCTACGATGGGAAAATCCATCTCTGGTTACCACGGCACTCATTCTGGAATACTGGATGCAAGCCGCTTCGTAGAATGTAATGTGTGATATCTACTACAGGAACATCAGTATATAAGACGGACCATTCGATGAACTGGGGTCCACGTGTATCATTCGCCCACGTCTACCACTCGAGTCCCTTTCATTAACCGATCTATTCAAAACACTACTGCTGATTTGTCAGTTACCCATCCTGTTCAGCATCAATGTTTTATACAATAAAGTATCCCTTGTTTCTTAACTCAATCTAGCACTCGCATTGGTTCCTTTGAACATCAACACAAGATCCAACCTACATTTTAACTGTACGTACACAAATTACTGCCGTGTTCCTAGAAAACTTCAAAGAATACTGTTTTCCCTAAGGGCCTTCCGCTAGAAAAAGACAAGGATCCCAATCTCCCCGTACTCTTTGTCAATTTCTAAGATTTCGAAGTTTTACTTTTAAATATTTCGACTTTACGATTTCTAATGTAGCGAATGCTATCAGCAAGAAATAGAACTGTCATGAACGAAGATCTTTTTCAAAAACTGTACTGGATCCGGAGGGAACTGAACCACTCCTGTTCACCTAATGGATGCGATGTGTTACCATTACACCAGCAGTCCTTTTGCTCGATATTGCAGATTTAACCTGGCAGCACATCTACTGTGCATCTTCCTTTCAAGACAAGGTACACCATTCTTCTCTTTTCTTTTGTGGCGACTTCTTGGCTGGTATTCTGCCAAAGGATGTCCAAACGTATCACTGACGCATCTTTTCGTGGAACTGGTATCGTTCAATGAATTGATTTTTTGCTAAACAACGTAACAAAACAGCGTTCATGCAGTAGTCAATTTCACAATTATTTAATTTTATCACAAACAAATTACACACACATATAATATGAGAAACCGAGAAGGACTGGGTGAAGCCAATAGCAGTAAAACACTTAAAACTTATCATCATTTTTGCGTTAACTCAAAAAGCAACCGAACGCCAAATAACATCAAAAAACGGCTGAAATACCAGAAATGCAATAAATGCAAATCAGGGATTTTTCGTTCATCTGAAAATTTCCCAGTAAGTCGCCTGGATTTCAGACGTTTCATACGAATTTCTATGCATATCCAAGGCTTCATGTAAATCCAGAAAATTTCGAACGTTTCAACCAAGGCAAGCGGCCATTCTTGAATGGCAAGATGATCGTGAAAACGACAAAGATGATGTGAAGAAATGCGAATTTCAGTCAGGACCACCGAGCGGGCGTCCCTCTCCCCAGTTATGGCCACGTGGTCCGTCACCTTGTGCTGGCGCTGCTCTTCTGTACGACGGTGCCTGGCCAAATCCGTGAACTGCACTAACTCGACTCGGAAACCATCTGTATCTAAAAAATTCAAAAGTAAGCGAAAACAAAGATATACACAGGCACAAAAAAAGAATCGCTTTTAACTATGACAGCATCCGGAAAATCTTGGGCCTACGCTGGCCAGTTATTTAGAATGTCCTTTTATACTACTGAATGGTATCCAAATAATGTTAAGTAAACACTGGTGTGTGTTTGCCAGCGGTATGGAACCAACCGAACGCCTTTGTGAAATTCATGTGAAAGCGGCGAACTCACGATAAAGGTCCTCCACATATAAACAAAACCACTGTAATAATAACGATAATGATGACAGTAATGATAAATAATGGGACTGAATAACGATAACAGTAGGAGTAATAATAATATTACTAGTACTGATGAAAATCGTGAAAATAAATGCAGTGACAATAATGGCAATCGTGATGGTAATACCAAAGTAATAATAACAATAATAATAACATTTTCTAAGAACAGTACAAATTTCCCCCAATAAGTGAGGAAAGCTCTGACTCTGCGATGTTCAATTGTGAAAATTCCTCTCAAACTTACAAGATTTGTGGTGTGCGAAGAAACTGACGTCCGCCAAAATCTTGTGGATATTTGAACATCAAGAAATAATAGGTATGGCCGACAAGGATTCCGATCAGTTCATTCATGCCGCCACCGCGTAAAATCATATTGAAACCGACCAGTATCCAGGGCAAATACATTGCTTTGAATTGTGTCCCAAACCAAAACTGCACAATTTGATCCCTATTCATCTGACACCAAATGTACAGAACACTGAGTACCATTGGTTCAAGCAAGAAATATACGCTTCCTGCTAGGCATATTATCTGAAAATCAAAAATTTCTCGATTTTTTAAGTAATACCAACAAAAAACCAAATGCAATCCAAAGCTGTTGAGCAGCTCATATAAGTTACATAATATCATATTCTTTGTTCTAACAATGTCTTCGTTCACTCCGCTGCTGCTTTTGTCAGTGACCACGTTTCGCAACCATTTTTAAAAACTTTTTTGAATTTCTACTTTTTATCATAGACCAAATCAAGTGCTACTCGGTAAAAAAAAATTAAAGAACTGGAAAATCCTTTTGCGCAAATCACAAAAACATTCAAAAAAAGGAAGCTTACAGTGCAGAGAATCCAGTTGAAGATAAGCATGAAAAGATAATCAGCTGGGCGACCATCGAAGAGCCCAGTTTCTGTGTCACGTGAATAATTGTAGAGAAAATAGAGCATTAACAACCAATGAAAACCCGTAGAAGGTGAAAGCGGATAATAAAACAACGCTGTTACTGGTCGCCAAATCTAAATTACTATGAAAAATATCCATCCAAATTCGAGATGAAGAAAATGAAACAATTAAACGGTAATTGGACAGCAGATGCGCAGTGTTACATCCTTCGCTCCATCGTTCTCTCCAGTTATCACAGCCACAATTCGCTCTTCAACTCA